CTCTTACATCAAATGAACTTTAATTATTTTATTTTAAATATTATTTTAATATATCCACAAACAACTAACCATACCACCTTTTTTCAAATTTAACTATAGTTAAAAAATAACCAGTTTTTACTAGTTGCATTCATATCCAATCACCCCCTAAATATTTTGAGAAAAAAAAATTACAAATTTTAAATTCTCAGCTCACTCGTGCAACTTAATCAATAGTGGATGAGTGCGTAAAATATATATATCATCCGAAACTTTAATTTGTTTTATCTTTTCTCATTTGTGCATACCGTCTCTCTCTCTCCACGTATGATAATGAGTGGGATATAATGCAAGCATCCAATGTCTGGTTTGTTGACTGCATGCTTCATTTTGCAAATATCGAAAGTTTTAGCTTTTTTTATTTGTCAAAATTAAAACATTGAGATTAAATTTTAGTCGGGGATTTATTTTCCAATTTATCATTTTCTTCATTTACCTTGTTTATTCATTTCTAGGCCAACCACTTTAAATACATAATAGAATCATTCGATTACTAATTGTTAATACACTTTTTAAAATAAATTTTACTATTTATTGTTTCATTATTTTATATAAATTAACTTTAAAATTATAATTTATCTTATTTTTCAAATGAAAGTCTTATTACATTTTCACTTATTTTACAAGTGAAAGTGCCACTTACTACCAAGATAAAAGTACACCATTTACCTTCAAATCTCATTATAATTTCATGTTTACGAAGTTTTTATTTTAATTACAAATATACTAACTTTTATAGTTTATCTATGGTTAATTTTTGTTTTTTTTTATTAATTTTTAAACTATATTATTTTTTAGTGTAAGTCAAGTTTATAAATGGATTATGTATAGTTTTGTTTTGAATGATACATTTTTGCAAAAGTTTCAAAAAATGTAGTAAAATGTACAACCTACTCCCAAACTCTCATATTTGTGTCGATATGCATATATATGAAAAAAAGAAAAATAAATAAATAAATAAATAAATTGGGAGATTAAGATCAGTGATCAACCCAAGATATGGCTATGGCCCACCATTAAATAATGTTATTAATAATACAATATCTAGATTGATCAATAGATGCTACTTTGTTTCAATCTATAATATCTAATACAAGACCCTACATATATAAAGTTATCAAATTAAGAATACAATTCAAAATATGATTTTATATAAAAGACTCATACATATTTGCTTTACTATTGGTGAATATAATATTGGGCCTCCATCTGTTCAATGTTGAGCTACATGGCTGGAGATGTATGCTTCGATGCTCTCTAAAGGCCCAATATTATGGATGTATGTGTGATAAAAAAAATAAATAAATAAATAAATAAATAAAATAAAAAAATAAATAAATAAAAGGTAAATAAAAAAGGTCCGATAGTGTAGTCACGAATGTTTAAAATTGAATTTTGAGAAAATTACTCTTAACAACCAAACAAAATTATTGTGTAGTCACTAGTCACGAATGAATGTCATAATTAAAAATTAAAAATATATACATTTCATAAATTTAGAGAAATATTACACTTGTATTATTAATTTATATTTTAAATCATCAAATATTATAAATTTAATATACCTAAAATTAATACATGAGAAATCAATCATTACAATCCAAGAAAACTTAAAAATCCAAAATCAAATTTATGGTATTGTAGATAACATTTTCTTTAGATATATATAATTTAATAAATACAATTAACAATTATAATTAGAACACGGGTTTTATGTTAATATATCACTTTGTTAGTTCATTATTGTTTATAATCTAACAATAAAAATATAAATATATATTTTTTTTTCTTGTAAAAATATCGATTTTTTCAAGTGTCTCTTTAGTACATGAGTATCATACTAGTAACGTTTTATTAAGAGCACCAAATAAACTGGTGCTTTTTAGGACCTTTAATTAATTAATTAATAATAATATAACATATGTATACTAATTGAAAGTTATACTTACAAAAATTTAAACAACAAAAAAGATTTCTTATTTTATATTTTCAAATACATTTAAAAAAATTATATATTATTAAAATTATGCACATCACAAGAATTGCTAGTTTATATTTTTTCTTTCTAACTCATATTAGATAATAATTGATAATGATAACTTTCTTGTTTTTTTATTAAAATTGATAGATAGTTAAATTTTCATATGTAAAGACAAATATAATTATTTTGTATGATCCATATGCAATACCAGTGCCAAATAAAAAAAGTCAAAAAATGATTAAACTGATATTGTATGTAAAATTAACAACAAATTAAGATTTATAAGATATTTTAAATTTAAATTGAATAATATTTTGTAATATTTAAAATTTTTTAGGCATTAATAAAAGTCAAATCTACATAAATTACACCAAAACTACAACAAATTGATACGTAGGATTACAAAAAAATATATGGTACTCTTTTTTTTTTCAATAGTTTTGTAACGTTCCGACCTTTTAGAGCATGTTTGGATATGAAATTTTTTTGTTTTGTTTGATTTTTTTGGTTTGGTTTATTTAATTTTGGAAAAAGTGGTATGGTTAGTTGTTATTGTGTATATTAAAAATAATATTTAAAATAAAATAATTAAAATTGATTTGATGTAAAAGTAGGAGAGAGATGATTAAAGTGATTGTTAGTTAAAATAATGTGAGTGAATGAATAGTGAATTAAGGTGGATGTGGTGTATATGAATGATTGATTGATATCATTTAATTATATTAATAATATTGATGATAGTGGAATTGAGTTAAACTTTAGTTAAAAAAGGTGGTTGAGTTAAAATGTTGGAAATTTTTTAAAACAATTTCACAAATAAACATGCTCTTAGTTTCTATTGTGCTCACATCTTACTACTTTTAATCTTTAATTTTTAGGAATACATGCATACAATTAGAAAATATTATTATATTGGTGTCAATAGTTAGTTTTACCATCATTATCTTAACTAAATTCATAAAAATAATATATTATTTGAGATAAATAATTGCAAAAATAAAAATTAAACACACACATATATATATATGCACACACACACTTGTGTTATTGAACTAATACTTTTTCTGCTCATTTTTTTATTTAATTTTAGAACGTAACAGTTATATTTTGTATAATTAAATATAATAATATTTTTTTAATTACTCTATTTAGTTTTACCTTCGTTACTGTAACTAAATTAATAATAAATAATAAAATTTTGTTTGAGATAAATAATTGCAAATAGAAAAAAATGAATATATATATGTGTGTGCGCGCGCTGTTATGTTATTGAAGTAATGTCTTTTCCGCTCATTTTTTATTTAGTTTTGGAACGTAATCGTTACATTTTGTATTAATTAATTGTAATAATTTTTTTAATTACTCTATCATATAACAATTATTGCTAATGTCAACTAGTTATAAATTCATATTAAAAGGTTTGTGAAAGTTAAACAATTATAAATTTCTAGTAAAACTTTGTTTATTCAATTTGATTATTTTAAAATCAATATATCTTTTTTTTTTATTTTATCTCATAATAATAATAATAATAATAATAATAATAATAATAATAATAATAATAATAATAAGTAGTTTTTCAACTATCTAATTGATCAAGATCCTTTAAATAAGTAAATATCTGATATTCATGGTTCATTCGTATTATCAAATTTATTAATTGTGATATGCCATAGGCTAACGGAGCACGAAGGCTATAATCAGTTCTGCCTGCCCCTTCCCTTGAGTCTTTCTACTTCTTTTGTAGATTAGTGGATGAATTGGCATCTTTTCCAAGTACTGGGCGGCATGGGAAGCCCATGATAAGTGGGAAGATTGGCAGTCAGAGATATCAATAGGAGAAACGAGCTCTGGTCATGAGTTCGTTGCCGCGCCTCAACTGGTCGTTCATAAATAGCCGAGGAGTAGGGACACAAGAGTGCTATTGTTGGGGCGTACTACGTACGACTAAGGGTTCAAGCAGGTACGATAGATAGGGCCCCTTCGAAGTGGCCTGAAGGATCTTCTTTTACAATACAAAGACAAAGGCTTAGGCTTTCAACTGAATAACATGGCCTTGCCGCCCCCCTTCTTTTTTCTCTAGGAAGAGCATTAATACCACCAATTGAGGAAGCCGGCCGCGCAAGGCTCGTACCTCGGGCGTCGGAAACAAACCACTTTGGGAAAACCTAGAAAAGAGGAAGAGTCACTAAGACAAGAACTAGGTAAGCAAGAAGGAGAGGCTAGAAAAGGCGAGGCAAAGTTTAAAGATCTCGACCATAGGGAGAGGAGGGACTATTATCTAGCTTACAATTTAAATATAACATCCATATATATAATTTATGATATTTTTATTTTCATCAGTATATGCATAAGATTTAGTACGATAACAAGTATTTTGTACAATATAGTTGACCTCTAATTATAGTTACTAGTATTCGACCTGTGCATTTGCACAGATATAAATAAATTATTGTGAGTCTGTATGCATATAATGATTAATTATTTTTCTTTCACTTTTTTGCAGACCAAATTTACAATTAAAAGAGTTGGAATATTTTTTTTTAAATTGCGTTTATCTGATTGGATGTAATGTATATTTTGGTACGTCTTTTATTTGTGAATTATTTATTATTTATTTAGGAATTTTAAATATATTTTTTATTTTTGAAAAAAAAATTAAATGTAACAACAATAATAACATCTAATCACATTATACGGTCAACACATTATATGGTCAACTGTCATTAATTAAAAGTTTAAATTTATAATTTTGAAGTGATGAGTATTAATTATTTAATGATTGAATGAAAGATTAAATACATCAAAATGTAACGGTTTTTGGAGGAAAAATTGTTAAATTGCCACATAGGTAAAATTAAATAGGTTTTATTAAATGTTTTGAGTTAGTAATTATATATATATAGATTTATTTTTTGTTAATCAAATTGATATTCAGCTTTCTTTTTTATTTTAATTTGGGACAAGGCCTTTGTCTTTTGAGTTTTTACCATCTCCGCAATTATAATTTTCTCTTTTATCAGTTTTCACTCGCCGTCCGTAATCGAGCCACCGCCCCCACGTTCATCCCATCACAGCTGTCTTCTCGCCGGAAATTCGTTCGCCGTCGCCGCCCTCTTCGCCTCCGGCGCCGCATCTCACCTCTCTACATCTTACTCTCAGTGTTCGTCGGCCCGACGAAGCTAGTATCGGTGTGTATTTAGTTGCGCTTCTCTAAAACCCTTATTTCGAAAAACCCTAACTACAGTGTATCTCCAATACTAACCAGACACAGTGTTGATGACAGGGGTTTTAGAGTATGGCATCGGAAAATGGAGGCAGCACAGATGTACTGATGCTGGAGGCGCCGCCTCAGTCGGCCGTGGCTCCTCAAGCTGAAATTATAGATGCTCTGCCTTACATTGATGACGACTATGGAAACCCAGTGGTCAAAGAGGAGGTTGACCGATTGATTGAAGAGGAGATGCGCCTCAGCTCAAAGAAGCCTTCTGATTTTCTCAAAGATCTTCCCCCTCTGCCCAAATCCAATTTTCAGGTCTGCGCAAAGAATGTGTTTTTCTGTGTGTTGAGTAGCTTTGCAGATGACCAATATTGGTGTGGGTTGCCTCGGTTTAAGAGCTTGGTTTTTTACTGAAATGGTGTATTATGTAGGAAACCATGGAATTGTCTGACATTGAACTCTCTGTCATTTATTGGAACTTGATGTTATCTTAATATTGTGATTCTTAAACAGTTTGTTACTTATTTTCATAGTTGATTATTCTATTTATATCCAAATATCGAAAAAATAATGATGCATGGACAAAGTTCTTGACAAGTAGTTTAGTGTGAATTGAAGCTGGGAGAAGATGTTCTCTTTCGTCGTGTATGTCACTGTTTGCCGAATTGATCAAAATTGATTGCTTTTCTTCACCACCAGATTTTAGAACAATACTTTTGCCTGGCAGCTTTTGTGTGCAGAAACCTGGACTTTTAATGATGTTTCTTTTTTGAGTGGAATGTATTGGGTAGAAGGAGAGGGGAATATGGCCGCTGAGAATTTATTTGGATATTTCGTTAGAAGTTATGTTGAGGAGCAGTTTAAATTACATGTCCAACGTACTTGTATCATTTACAATTTTTGTGAGTTGGTAGGGCCTGATATAGTTGGACTTGATAATGGCATCTAAACAGTATTTGTGTTGTAGTTAGGGAGGGTAATGTAGTGATGATTGATAGTATTGTCATAGGATAAAAGTGTATGTATGTTCGGTAAGATCAAATCTTGATTTTTATGCATAGCGAGGGATGCTTTGGTGCCCTTAGTTTATGATATATCATATTTCAGGATCATCCGATGCTTGCTAGGGAATACGAGAGGGTTAGAGCTGGGAAACCTCCAGCACCTATAGATACATCCAGATATGGACTTGAATTGCCGCCTTTGAACAGGCGTAATGATGAGACTGCTTGGCGGCAGGCCCTCCAGAAAGCCCAGCGTTTATTGCAGCATCAAGTCATCAGGTAGTTTTTCTTGAGTTTGATAATTTGATTACCATTAAATCTCATATATCTCCTGGTCAGCAAATTTATGAGGTGTTGAAATGAAAAATGTGAGATTTTCTGAATGGTGTCACTTTGATGCTGGAGCATTGCAATGTGATTTCAGACTTTTCGATTGATGGAATTAAAAATAAGTGAACTTCAGGCTTATTTGAAAACCTTTCCCGCTCCATCTTGAACTGCTGTTGCGCATAATATTTTTTGGCATCCAAATGTGGACGTTGGACACTTGTGTTATATGATCTTCTCTAGTTGACATTAATTTAGTTCCTTGTTTTTGTAGGCTTGAAAATCTAGAGTTGATATCGAAGCACGGCCCTGAGGTTTGGAAGTTGTATAATCAGCAGCTGGAGGCATTTTCATCGAGGTGTGTTTTTTCACTCAACATGTTATGTAAGATTTTATTAGAATTGGGGGAAGAGGGTACGGTCTCACCAGGTGAAGCGCACCATAAGAGGGTGGGCCTAGGTGCTGTTCCTTCTCAAAACCAATTGGTGATGGGAGGAGTAGCCCATTATGCATATAAGCTAAGCCCAATTTCCCTATAGAATCAATGTGGGACAACTCACAAGTGATACTCCAACACGACCTGAGTCCTTCATAAGACCAAGCCTAGAGCAGGCCGGTTAGAGAGTGAGCCCAAGCTCAGAGTAGGCCGGTAGAGATAGAGACCCAGGCTGGAGTTGGTCTGGCTCTGATACCATGTAAAATTTAGAGAATTGGGGCAAGAGGGTGCGGTCCCACGCAGATGAAACGCACCACAAGAGGGTGGGCTTAGGTGTATCATAGTGAGGTTCCATCCCAAAACCAATATCCCTTATCCCTTATCCCTGGGGAAACATTATGTCAACCATCCGTGCTTGCAGTTATTACTCATTAGTTAAGAGCCTTTTTTTTCCCAATCATGTATGGATTTTTTTTCTCCTGTTTTTATCATTGTTTTATTTCATTATCATTCAGGCCGTATCACCAGTAATTAGAAAACCATAAGACTTTATTGCCTTCATTTGTTATGCATAGACCTTGTAAGTTGAAGTATTTGTAACCTGAAATTTGCTATTTCAGGTATGATAATTATTTTGTGTATTCTGTTGTCTTCATCAAACCATTAGCACAGCATAGTTCCTTTTGAGTATCACATAACATTAACTATGTCATGTCACTTACCTTTAGTTTCTACTTTTTACACTTCATCTCGATGTTGTAACTAAATTCATAATTTTAGTCACACCCACCCGACTAGGCGCTTTAGGCGCTAGGCACTGGTCGAGCGCCTAGCGGGCGCCTAGCGACTTTTAGAACACTGGTCACACCTACATAGCCAGATTTTTTTTTTTTATTTTTTTCCTGGTAACCTTGGTTTTTGGCTTCCTTTCACAGAATGCAAGCCCAAGTTCTGGAGCTTTATAGACAGATCGAATCCGTAAATCGAGAGAGGAAGTATCACCAGGTAATTCAGAAGAAAGTAAAATTAGTTTACTATTTTTTTTTTCTTTTCCCCATTTTTCAGTTGTTGCTGCTTCTAAATTTGTTCAGCAAAATACTGCCTACGAGCTCAATGCTTTATCTACACAATGGAGGGAGCTTTGTTTGAAAAACATTGAAATCCAAGCCGCATGTGCTCAAATTGAAACTTCTATTAAAGAGCTAAAGAGTGAAGCTGCTGAAAGGTAATTAATTCCTATGTCATTTTTTTGTTTTTCCTCTTTTTTAATGTCTGTTAATAAGTTTCTAATTTTGTAATCAGGGGCTGGAATTTGGATGATAATATTGAGAATGGTCCTATTACTGCCGCTGAAAAATGAGGTTTGGGTTCTGTTTATTGACCTTCTATATTATGTGTTTATTGCATTACCAAAATAGGTTAAAAACGTGTTATTTTATGCATGCATGAAAATTTGACATTATTATCTCAAAATTATGTACTTCTGTTTTCATATTCACTTGACCCAAATATTCCTTTTTTTTTTTGCCTTGCAGGTACCAAAAAGATTGATGGCATTTCTATTAATCAAAATTCAAGTGGACTTGTTATTCATCCTATGATCCTTGCACCAAAATGCCCTACCAACTAATTACTAAAAGAGGAAAAAATTGAACTTTTGTGAAGACCTAGAATTTATGGTACTGCTCTATTGGAATTTTGTATTGATGTATTATCTTTATCTTGGTTTGTAAATGAGCAAAGTAGAGTTCGGGCTACCTGAATTCTCGTAGCTGCTAAGTATGGAATTCAGTAAGGGTTTGCTCATTATGCTTTATTTGTCATTTCGTGTTTTAAAAAGTATTTTCATATTAGTTCGAAATGCCCGTGGACATTGCGCTTGGATCGGCTTTTGAAAAGTTTCAGAGCGATTTGTGTAAAATCAGTTCAATTTTTTTGGCCTTATTACTGTTTTCAGGTAAGTAGACATAAAAAGCCCGCTAATTTCCCTTGGTGTATGCTTACATTTGCTTTGTGGGTGAGAGTTAGGTCTTTGAAGATAATTCTGTGAGTCCCTTGTAGTAAATTATTGCATGTTTTTTTTTTGTAAAATTAGAAATTGTTTCATCAAACCATCCTAGGGATAGTTTCAAGTGGGGTATATCCTTTGTAAATCAGTTAAATCCAATTGTCCAGCTAAGGCATTTTCTCAAATATTGAGCTCAATTTGGCGGTATGAATTCAAGAATCGCACGTCACAAGATTGGCTCGTTAAACACAATCATCCAAGCAAATTCCAAAATAGAATTGCGGATATTTTATCATCCATTCATCTCAATAATTTGTTTGCTGAAATTTATTCTCGAATCCTGGCTTCAAGCTTGGATATAAGCAACCAGTAAATATAGTTCATCTGAAAAATAATGTTTGCCAAATAAATAATTATGCCTCGTAGCATGATCCTGGGATTAGTTGTCATTTGCAATTAGCTGGCACTTTCCTGTCATGAAGTCCCAACCCCCCATTGGATTAGTTTTCATTTTCTATTCCATTGATATCTCTATATGGTTTCAATTAAAAATGTGGAGATCCGAAGGAATTTTATAAGCTTTAAATGAGATGTTATTAAGAACTTTGTAGCTATAGTAGTTGCTCAATTTATTATATTTTGTAGAAGTAGTTGATCAATTATATCCTCTGAAAAAAAATTCCAATTTGGTACAATTATTTCCATTTTCTTTTAGGGCACCACAATATTTTATTTTTATTTATTTTTTGATATTGAATATCATATTTTAAAATGTAATATAAAATGTAATATAAAGTGAAAGATGACATTTGATAGTATAAATATGCATTTTTTTTTTAAACAAAATATGTCTGTNATAAGTGAATAATGTTTGTTGCCTTAGGCACCACAGATTATTACAGGTTTAACACAGATTTGGATCATGCCAGTTGCCGCCGTCATGTTCATCACGTTGCAAAGAGAGCAAGGTATATTGTTTATTCATAAATTCTTTTGTTAGGCGGCTTAATCGTTAGACAAATCAACTCGTCATACATTTTCAACAAAAATCCATATTTATACTATTAAATATCGGTTTATATTGTTTTTTTAAAGTATATCATGTCAATTTAAGGCTATTGTTCAATCACAAATTCTTATGCGAGGTTCCCAAACCATTAGATGGGTTGACTCCTTGTACACTTTTCACGAAAATGCACATTTCTGCTATAAAATGATATACTTTTGTTTATATTTATATTGTTTTTTAAAAATATGACATGAAAGGTATAATTGCGTAAACCGTTGGGCATGTCCAAGAATAGCCCGTTGTTTAATTTCTTATTTTTCACTATGCTGGAATTAATAATTGCCATTTGTGTATCTATTTTTCTAATACTCTTTTAAAAAACAATTGTGTGCGTGGATCGTGTGGTTATATAATATTACTGCAAGATATTACACTCAAAGTCAAATTCAATGTCTGTTTTATTTTTTATTATTATTTATTTTTTAAAAACAATCTTTTAAAAATTAGGTGTGGTGCCTTTATGGCTATGTCAACTATTTTTGCAGTATGTGTGTGTTTATGGTCTGACCATCTTTTGATCANAAAAAAAAAAAAAAGGAAAAAAACGACGAACAATGAGCCTAAGGGAGGTTTCGTTAGACGACGAGGAGACTTCCCTGCGTTGGGCCGCACTGCAGAGACTGCCGACCTACGAAAGACTAAGAAAAACAGTTCTAACGACAATTTTTCCGGACAAAACCGACAACTTTGTCCGAATCGTTGATGTGCGGAAGCTCGGCCGAGATGAAAGACAAGAGTTCATCGACCGGTTTTTTAAGGTTGCCGAAGAAGACAATGAAAAGTTCCTCAAGAAGCTGAGGAATCGTATAGATAGGTAACTAAGTTTTTTCTTACATTGTTTGCTTTAACATTTTTTTTTAACCTTAAAGTCGAAAATGTATTTGCGTCGAGTGCTTGTGTTACTTGATCGATCCACCATACTTGTTCTGTATTTTCTTTGTGACTTATCGGTTTTCTTTGTTTTGTTTTGGTATACTAAATGAAAAATAATTGAAGAGTTGGGATAAGCCTTCCTCAAGTAGAAGTGAGATTCGAGCATTTAAATGTGGAGGTCGACTCGTTTGTGGACATGGGAAGGGCCCTTCCTACTCTGCCTAATGCCGTTTATGACCTCGTGGAGAAGCTCCTAAATTGCTTCGGCATTAGAAGAGGAGCTCGGAAAACTAAACTCACTATACTCAAAGATGTCTCGGGCATTATAAAGCCTTCTAGGTAAATTTTTCGTCCATCAACTTCGTACCAAAATAGCTCAAAGCATGATGTATGATTTCATTTGGATGTCGCGAAATTTGTATGTATGTCGTTAACAAGTTGCGACACCTTTTCATTTCAAATGTTCGTACTTCACATTATACGATT